CTGGGAGAAGTCCCCGTGGCCGGCAGAGCCTGTGGGAGGCGGCTAGTCCCCATTGGCCTGGCCTGGAAGTGACCAAAGTGACTGCCTTCGGTCAGCACACTCCGCAGGACATGTTCCTTCGGGAGTCACTCAGGAAGAAAGCTCCAAAGCGACCTAGCAATACCAGCTCGTACCTACTGCAGGTTATTTATGGACATTTCAACATTTAAAGAACACGATCTGGGGTCTCCCTGGTGGCACACAGGGTTAAGTCTCAGCACTATCAAGCACAAGTCCTATCTGGCCAAGGAGCTGGCCCACATGGCGTGGCAGACCTCTCCTGACCCGCCCGCTGCTCCCCTCAGCGGTGTACTTCGTCAGTCCGACTGTTCTGCTCCTCGCTCTGTCTCTGGTGGATCCTCTCACCCTCCCCACCCCACCCCACACCTCTGGCCTACTCCCAGGTTTTGTATGCATAAATAAATAAATCTTAGAAAAAAGAAAAGGACATGATCTTAACTTGGGTCTGTGGGCGGAGACATGGCAAACTCCTTGCAATAGTAAACAGTGAATAATTTTACTGTTCAACTTCCAGCAAGACTGCTTTTTTTAGCCAAGAGTGAGGCTGCTTCCTTTAGCTCTTCCAAAAAAGCTGCTTGGTTTTGTAAGGATCAAATGTTATGTTTGGTGGGGACAAGTAACTTTAAGTTGACATTGAGTGACCTGTCCTTACTCTTCCTGTTCCTAGAACACAAGGCGTGAAGGCCTCTGGGTCCTGGACCTGGTGGGCACAGGCCCTGGCCAGGCAGCAGCTGCCTGGCCCTCCCAGGGGTGCCCAGGGAGCTAGGGGTGTATGTGTTGTGACCAAAGACTCGGCCAAGCCCCTGGGTCTGGGGTTGAGGGCCTGGGAAGCCCTGGCGTCTGCCTGGTATGTGCAGGGTGGGAGCAGAGTGTAGCAAGTGCTTTTGTAGCAAGTGCTCTTGGCCGTGGCTCCCTCCTTGTCTTGATGCTAAGCTTTCTGGTTCATGAAGCATTTTCCCATCCTCTGTCACTTCACAGACATATTGGGAGAGTGGGAGAGGAGCACTCGTGTTCGTTCGCAAAGGTGGAAGCTGAGGCTCAGAGACGGAACTGGCTTTCCTGGGGTCACAGGGCTGGCATGATGGTTGATGGCACTAACATTGCAAACTCTGGTAGCAAACTTGTTAGCTCACAGTCAGTTTTCACATCATCATCACATTTCACACTGTCTTTAAGGGGACCTGGGGGGCGGCTGCTATATCCTCATTTTCCAAAGAGGGAGGCTGATAATCAGAACTGGCCTCACCACAGTTTCAGGTTGGTTACAGGGTGGCAGGGATGGGCGAAGAGATCTCTTTTGGTGGGGGAGGGAGAGGGCCATCCTTGATAGAAACCAGCATGTGTGGTCCAATTCTACTGGCATAAAAATATGCAGTGTATATTGGGAGAAAAGGAAAAAAAAGTGCCAGCTTTCCTTTCCTGTCCCCAAAACGAAGGTGATGTGTGGCAGACACATTATAAAATGTCACCAAAGAAATTTATCTAAGTGGACAGACCCTCCCTGGTTAAAGCGCAGCACTATGAAGCTATCCACAGCCACTTCAGCACGGGTTTGATTCCCGGCCAGGGAGGTGACCACATGGCACAGCAGACCTTTCCTGACCCATCTACTGCTCCCCTCAGCAGTGTACTTTGTCAATCTGCCTATTCTGCTCCCCACTGTCTCTGGTGAGTCCTCTCACCCCCCCATCTCTGGCCTGTACCCCACTTCTGTATGCATACATAAATAAATCTTTAAAAAAATTATCTAAGAGGTTGTGAGAGGGCCAGGCCAGGGGCTCAGAGGCTAGAGCGTGTCCAGAAGGGTCTCCACGCTGGTGCTCTTCCTGCACAGGTGACTGGGATGCAGCCAGCGACTCCTGTGCGGTAGTCATGGCTCCCCTGGGACTCCCCTCCTCCTCCCCCTGTACACCTGGGCTCCCAGCCCCACCTGAGCTCCCTGCAGATCGCCCCTGTTCTGGGTCGGCCCCTTTACTGGCCCCCCTTCTCCCTGCCCTCCTCCCCTGCCCTTTCAGTCCTCCCCCAGCTCTGACATGCTTGGCTGAGCTAGGCAGGGTTAGACAGCTTCCTAGTCATTTCTTTTGGGCCACAGGTGGAAAGCCTGACTGCTCCCTACCCCCATGCGTTCCTAAGTTCCAATTGACCATGTCCCAGGAGAACAAAGACAAGAAGTTGGCAGGGGAATGTGTGTGTGTTGGGGGGAGGGGGTCTGGCCACCTGGTCAATTCACTTCTATACTCAGAAATCTTGAAGGGCAGGAACAATGGGTAAGGGGCACCTGGCAAAGGAGGCTCTGATGATGGAGTGCCCACCCTGTGTGGGCAAGCCCCGACCCCCTCTGTGCCTCAGTTTACTCATTTGCGCAAAGGCAGTAAAAGTCCCTGGCCTGCTTACTACAGGAGGCTGGGATGAGGTCATGGCCGGAAAGCTCTTATTGTCAATCTCAGGTAGTTATCTCTGTTGTTCAGCCCACAGTCCTGGGTGCTGATCCTCAGAGCCTTGTAAGGAAAATCCCAGGGGGTGTGGTCTGGGAGAAATCATCCTTGTTTGTTTTGGTGTGTGTATGTGTGTGCTCATGGAGGGAAGGAGCGGGGAGAGCAGCAGAGGGCAGCCGGGAGAGAAAAACTCCTTCCTTGCTTGGCACCTACTATGTGTCAACCCCATGCTAGGTACGGAGGTTGACTCAGGCATCACTTTGGGTCTCCAGGAACCCCCAGTCCAGTAGAGAGTGGGGTGTGGAGGGGGGGGTGCAACAATAGCAATGACGGATGTGTGTACAGTCAACCATACACAACTTCCCCCAGGTACTAGGTGGTCCCAGCCAGCCCGAGGTTCACCATACAGTGGGCAATCCTGTCTCAAAGGCCTCCCGTGACTGAGGCTCACAGATGCCTTCACCCTCAACCAAGCCCACTTGATGGTTTTCCCACAGGAAGCTCAGGGACTACAGGGCTGGGTCATCCCAGGTGGCTGGACAAAGCTGGGGTTCAGGGGTGTCTTGGAATCTGACCCCTAGCATGATGATCATGGAAAGTGAGGGGTACCCTTGATTCAGCCATGAGGAGCCCCAGTCACTCTCACCCCCATAATTACCCCTTTCTCCAGGTCTCCTCGGCCCCCTATCCTGAAACAGGACCCCGCCAATCTTGGACCCCTGCCTTACAGTTACCTCTATCCTGTTTCCAACATCCAAGGTGTGTGTGGGCATTGTTCAGCCTGGCATCTAGTGACCTGGCTCGTCCCTGTGCCTCTGTGCACAGGTGTGGGTGATGTTTGAGGACGATTTCTGGTCCTTTCACCGGGGCTCCTCCCCCTCTCCTTAAACTTAGGGTCAGACTAGCTTCCTGTCCACCCCCAGAACTCTCTGTATTTCCCCACCTTGGTACATTTGTCTCCTTTGTCCTTCCCAAATGTTCTCACGCCACTCCAGGGGAGTCCATTCATGGTGACTTATCCCTGTCCACTGCAGCATAAATAACCCAAGGCTACCATGTGCTCTGGGGGGCACCAAGAGCACCTTCATTTCAAGCCCCCTCCCCAGGGCCCTTCCTCCCCTCTAGTCCAAATTCTTCCTTCAATTAAAGTCTTCTGGGGGCCCTCCCTGGTGGCGCAAGGGGTTAAGGCTTGCACTATGAAGCTATCCACAGCCACTGCAGCAGGAGTTTGATCCCTGCCCAGGGAGCTGACTCACATAGCACAGCAGACCTCTCCTGACCCACCGGCTGCTCCCCTCAGTAGTGTACTTCAGTGGATCTGCCTGTTTTGCTCCCTACTGTCTCAGGTGTTATCTTCTCATCCTCACCCCTGCACCTCTGGACTGTATCCCAGCTCTTGCACGCATAAAAAAATAAAACTTTTTTGAAAACAATAAAGTCTCCAGGGACTCTGCACCCACCCCGGCCTTATCAGATAACTGCTTTGTGTCTGCAGAGTAAACACTCATTTGTTGGGCTGACATCCATAGGGGTGGCCTGCAGCTTGCTGCTGGCTGGGGCCTCCCTCACTCAGTTCCAGTCAAGCCAGACCTGGCAGGAACAGAGCCCACTGGCTTCATGAAAGGGGAGAGGTTTCCTCTTCTCTGGCTGAAGGAACAAATCAAAGGAGTATGCTCCTCTGGCAGGAATGGGAAGTCAGGGGAGGTGCTGGTAGTCAGGGATGGGGAGAGCAGGCACCAACAACTCATCCCTCCATGGACCTCCCCAGGTCAATGCCAAGACCGCTGGTGAGGCAAACACATGGCTGATGAGAGTCATAATAGCAGATCAGACCAGTGATGAAGGTGATAAGCCCTCAGCAGTGACCCAGGTGTGGCAGCTCTTTGACATTCATTCTGGAAAGGGGTCCCCACCCCTCTCCACCCACCCAGCCTGCAATGAAGGAGCCCTGGGGTGTACGAACATTGGTCTTCAGGCCCTGAGCCTGGTCATGCCTGGCTGCCCCTTCCCTGGACACATCCAGGTGCCCTTAGGCTGTGACTCAGTCTTCTCCCAGCTGACCTCAGCAGGGACCTGGGGGCAGGGGAGAGGGCAAGGGAGAGGGCAGTTTCCTCTGAGACTGATTATCCCCGGGAGAGTGACTCAGGGACCCAGGGCTGGGGCCTGAAAGTGCCTTTGTGGCCAGGCTCTGGAATCCAGAGGAACTGGTCAGGGGGCGGCCCCAGGGACTGAAACCCCTCCCTCTGCTCCCGCCTACCTGGAGAGCCTTATAACCCTTCCCGCCTTTAGCAGAGTGCCAGGGAGCTGCAGCTTTTTGCAGGGAACTGGTCTGGCTACACTGGCTGGCTGATTCTCTCGCTGACTCTCATCTCCAGAGACACCTGTGGCTTCTGACTCGACTTGACTCAGGTGAGGACACTTGGCTGCTCTGACTGACTTTGCCACTGAACTCACAGCGAGAGGCCCCCCTGTGGACGCTGAGTGTCCATCCTCTGCGCTTGGAAGCCTCCAGCCCACAAGGCCAGGTCTCCACAGGCTTTTGGGTCCCAGACCGTGGTAGACGCTGAGCAATGGCCTCCATGGGGCTGCAGGTAATGGGCATTGCCCTGGCTGTGCTGGGCTGGCTGGGTGCCATCCTGAGCTGCGCGCTGCCCATGTGGCGCGTGACGGCCTTCATCGGCAGCAACATCGTCACATCACAGACCATCTGGGAGGGCCTGTGGATGAACTGCGTGGTGCAGAGCACTGGCCAGATGCAGTGCAAGGTCTACGACTCGCTGCTGGCGCTGCCCCAGGACCTGCAGGCCGCCCGCGCGCTCATCGTGATCTGCATCATCGTGGCTGTGCTGGGCGTGCTGCTGTCCGTGGTGGGTGGCAAGTGTACCAACTGCGTGGAGGACGAGGGCGCCAAGGCCAAGATCATGATTGTGGCGGGCGTGGTGTTCCTGCTGGCCGGCCTGCTGGTCATGGTGCCTGTGTCCTGGACGGCCCACAACATCATCCAAGATTTCTACAACCCCCTGGTGGCCTCAGGCCAGAAGCGGGAGATGGGCGCCGGGCTCTACATTGGCTGGGCAGCCTCTGGCCTGCTGCTTCTCGGGGGAGCCCTGCTCTGCTGCAACTGCCCACCTCGCACCGACAAGCCCTACTCGGCCAAGTACATCCCCGCCCGCTCCGCACAGGGCAGCAACTACGTGTAAGGTGCCACCACTCCGCTCTGACGCTTTGGCTTCGTTTCTCCATAGACTGAGCTCCGTGCCGCCTATGACCCTGGGATGGCGCGGCCACAGGCTGCGGGCTGAAGGGGCTGGGCAAACAGGGACTAAGCCAGGCCAGCGGCCCTCAGCCCCTCTTGGACACCTGACCACAGCCCACCTCGACAACAATGGACAGAAAGACTCCTGGGCCTCGCTCCCGAGTGGCCACCACCAGGGGAGGGGGCTGGGGCAGCAGGGTGTGGCCACAGAGCTGGGAGCTGGCGCCTGCTGGCCAGGACAGCTCAGCCTTGACTTTGTTTGGGTTTGAGTATGCCCTGCCCATGCCTGTGTTGACCATTGTCCCCTTCTCTGATCTTCTCCACTCCCTCTACCCACATCTTTGGGTGGGTCAGGGAGCACTGGGCTGTTCCTTGCCCATGGAAACCTGTGGCCATGAGATTGGCTGGGCCTTGCTCATAGAGGAGCACAAAGTGGACAGACAGGTTTAGAGGGGAGGGGTGAGGGCACCACAAACTGGTTTGGGGAGTCGTGGGGGAGGGGGCTCTTGAGGCAGCCCACTTGGCCTCCACCCCTCCTCCCTTCTGTCCCCGCCACAGCCAGGCAGCCCCCCAGGTCCACCTCAGCAGAAGGACCCTGCCTCCTGAGACTGGCTACCTCTGGATTGCCGCCCCTGTCAAGGTCACTGGCTAGCCTGGAGAGGGCAGGGGAGCGGTCTTTTGCTGGCCCTCATCCCCGGACACCCTGGGGCTTTTCCCTGCCTCCCATGCAGTTTCTGTTTTGTAATTTAAGATCTGTTTGTCACTGTAGTTACTGTTGTTTTCTATAATAAATGGGACCTGTGCACAGGAACATGCTGTACTGTCTCTGATTCCAGCTGTGGAGGTGGGCAGGGGCAGGAGCCCTTACAAGCCTGGCTTTGGGGGACTGTCAAGAATTGGATCTGTCCTCACCTTTGGAACCACCTCGTTCAAGCCCTCACATGCTCGAGGGAATACCTGTTCACAGGAAAGGTCCTGGGTGCCCACGACCCTGGTGAGCTGCTGGGGACCCCAGGAAGGAAGAGAGATGGGGACACCCGGCCCTGGGCAGTGGGCCACCTGTCCTGTCCCTCTGTACCAGCTTTGTCTTGCAGCCAGGCTGGTCTGGTCACCTCCAAGCCCTACCTCCCGCCTGACTTTTGCTTAGATTGTCCGTGCCCTCTCCCTACTTTCTCCACCCCTTGGAATCCTGCTTATCCTGAAGGTCCAGGTCTGGGCTTCCTCCTCCAGGAAGCCTTCCCCGGCCCAGCACAGCACCGCCCGGCCGGCACCCCGGCCCAGCCCGTTGGGAGGACTATCATCAGCCCTGTTCATGTCTAGTCCCACAGTGCCGTCAGTCATCCAAACCCTTTCACCTGCCCACCTGGGGGCTGCCTCCAGGCCCTTTATAGAGGAGGAAACTGAATCCTGCATGCGTGAAGGTAGCCAGAGCCCAGCCAGGAGCCCGTGAACTAGAGAGCATGCGTGGCCTGAGAGGGCTCATACAGTCACATCTGTGGCCCAAATGCTGTGCCTGGCTCAGCTGACTTCTGTCCTCAGAGACAGCTGGGGCAAAAGAATCACAGAACCACGGTCCTGCTGCTTTTCTGGGCCAACTTTAATGGGCAGACTCTCCTGAGAGGCAGGCTGGCATGGTGACCCATTTTGGAGATGAAGCGGAGGGGCTCCAAGGAGGGGCCTGGCCAGGCCACATGGAGGGTCAGTGACCTGCAGGGGACTGGGGAAGGGGCCTCGCTCCCTCAACCCCGACTTCTGCTTGCTGTTTTCTGTATAGGTAGACGATGCCAGAGATGAAGCCCTCACTGTCAGAAGAGCCAGGCACCACCTCGAGCTCAGAGGTGGCCAGTTCCCATCTGTCCACAGGCCAGACCAGCAGGCGTTCCCAAGCCCCCGCCTGCTCCAACTCATCCAGGGTGTTCTCCAGCGCCTCCTTGTAGCGAAGGTTGGATGGGTTGGTCCTGGTGGTCAGACACACCAGCCCGCCTGGGGAGGGGAGGGATGGGAAGGGGTAAGGGAGGGGCAAGGGGAAGCAGCTCAAGGGCACACTGTTGGATTTCAGCTTTGTCCCCAGGCCAGTCTTTCCCATCTCCAGCCTTTGGCGCTCACTCTCCCACCAGCCCCCTCCCGTTCCCTTCTTCAGTTAGACTGAAGCCTTCCCCACCCTTCAAGGCTCAAGGGACCTGGGGCTGGGAATTCCTGGCTAATCCTGGACAGAGGGGTTTTGCTTCTCACTGCTCACCCAGCCCCTCTGCTGGAAGGCAAGGCTGTGTCTAGATGCACAGGAAGTACATGAGCTTTAAACCTTGGGCCAGTCTCTTTACCTCTCTGGGCCTCAGTTTCCCAGCTTGCACAAAGGGGATGGCTCCCTGTCTCACAGGCACACCAGCACAGCCAGCAAGCATTGGCTGAAAGCACAGGTGACCAAGTCCCTCTAGGTCTTCCTGAGCCGTGTGGGCTCAGGAACACTAGGAGATCAGTGTCTGGAAGGCTCCCTGGAGGAAGGGGTAAGCAGCAGGGCACCACTGGAGGAGGGGGCTGCATGAAAAGGGAGGGCTCACTGAAGGAAGGGCTCTGAAGCCATTGCACCTGTGGCATGCAGGCAGGCAGACAGGGCTCTGCCAGCACAGGCAGGGCTAGGAGGCAGACTCCTTACCGGTTCAGGCTATGGGAGTTTCCTGTCCCTAGGTCAACCTTTACCTCGCCTCTGTCCCCACCAATCTTCCTAGATCTGTCAGCTGCCATAGTTCCCTGAGGCTGAAGCCTGCCCAGACCTGCCCAGGCTTAGCCACAGCCCCTGGAGGGCCGCTGGGGGAAGGAGCAGGGCAGGAAGAAGCTGTGACCTTGCTGTGGCAGAGCCCTCGTGGCTCCGCAGCTCAGCTGGTGCCTCCTGACACCCCTCACCCCCGCCCCTCCCTGCGTCCTACCTCTAACTTTTTTTGAACTGCCTTATACCAGGCCTCAGAAATGTCTTTGAATTCTTGGCGCAATGAGCAATCACAACTCTTATGTGTCCACCTCTGGCCTAATTGTTCCCCCACAGTTTGGTGACAGAGGACCAAAGGGTAGGGCTGTGTCTTCTCCCCAGAAGCAGGGCAAGGCAGAGTAGGGCACAGCACCAGAACCAGTCACCTGCACATCAGCCTCACATGCGGTATTTACAAAGTGCTCACGTCTAACCCTTCACCCGAGCAGCCCCACTTCACGGATAAGGAGACAGACCCGGACGGAGACTCATCTAATGGGGGCCCATGTGTTAGTGAGCTGGACGCTGACATAACTGAGCTGAGCGTTTCCTATGCAAAGGCCATAGAGACATTATTTTGCTCAGTTCTTACCCTAACCCCACAGGGCAGGACTCTGCTGCTCTGCTGACAGGAGAGGAGGCAGAGGCTGGAGACAAGGGCGTAACTTAACTGTTCCTGGCTGCCAGAGGACAAGAGGAAAGCTGGCCACGGGCTGCTCTGCCTATTTGCCTGGCTCTGTGGATAGTGGCAGCTGAGGCCAAGCCCTGGACTAGCAGGTGATGGCTCAATGCCAGGGGAGGCTGTGGCCCCGGGCAGGACCCTGTCCCTTGCCTGGCCTATGAGGCTGGTATCTGTGGGTCTGGAGAGGGGAAGGTTTGTATGTGGTTGGACAGTTGCTTCTCACCTGGCTTGGTAACTCGCAGGAGCTCAGGTATGGCACTGCAGGGCACCTGGCCGTCGCTGAGAGCACCCACCATCAGCACTGCGTCAAAGGTCCCTGTGTGAGGCATGGGCATGTGGGTGGTGGTTTGTTTTTGGTGTGACCTCAGACTACCCTGGTGGCAAGGGACAGGCTGGTCACTAGTGTCTGCAGGCTCCAGATCCTGTGGCCCAGTACCAGGCTGAGGTCAGATCGTGGGGTGCAGGGATTAGTAAGAGGGGCTCACAAAAGGTCAGAGAGGTTCTCTGTGAGGTCTTGGGGGCAAAGAAAGGGAGTGGGAGCTTGAGGAGGGTTCAGCAGGGGAGATGGCGGCAAGGGAAGGAGATCTATGAAGGTGGGCTTGGTCAGGGGGTGGGCATTGGAGTCTCAGGTGAGAGGGGGAGTACCTTCAGGGCTGGGCAGCGGCTCCTGGCCCAGGGTGCAGAGGCTGAGATGCTGGTAGAGGCCGCGGGCCCGGGCCTGTTCCAGCATCCCTGGGCTCCCATCCACCCCATGCAGCTGGAAGAAGCCCCGAGCCTGCAGCTGAGGTGATGGGGGAGAGTGCTCAGTCACAGTTCATGCCTGCCACTTTCCAGCTGGATCTCTGAGCCTCGGGCAGGGCAGTGAGCTCTGCACTGGATGTGGCTCAGTTTGGGACCAATGAATCTGAGGTGTGGGTGAGAAGAGAGGGCAGGACATGTGGGGAGGCCTCACCTCAGCAGCCACCAGGCCAGTGCCACAGGCCACGTCCAGGATCAGGGCGGTGTGGGGAAGGCTAGGAAGGGCTTGGGTGAGGCAGTCCACAGCTAGGCGGGGGGCACAGTACTGCAGTGTGGCCACATCCTGGGGACAGAGGGCTGAGCCAACCACCACTCCATGCACTAGTGTTTCTGGGATTTCTCCATGGGGTGATTGAGGAGTCAGCCAGGTGTGTGTGTGTGTGTGAGAGAGAGATTGAGGAGTCAGCCAGGTGTGTGTGTGTGTGAGAG